GTCCACCGATCCCTCCCTTAGGATCCTGACACGTGTCGGACGGTTGGATCGTACGGCTCTTCTTGTTAAATTTTTAAAAGGGTTTTTCTCCGCAAACTCAATTTTGATATGTTATGATCTATTATATCACATTGACTGAGTCAATAAAGAATTTATAAGAGGTCTAGATTTCATCTTCTGTCAAATAGCTTTTGGCGCTTATTTCTCCAACATCCCTTGCAAATTTGTTACTAATGTCTAAATCGTTGTAATAGATGCATAAGTAATAATGTTTATCTATTTAGAAACAATTGAGTACAGGTATTAAGAATGGCTTTGAAAGTGGATGTGCTTAGAAATAAATCAAGAAAAGCTTTGGGTTCAGGATAAACTTCCTTTTTGAAATGGACGCCACTTTAGTTCATAGGGACGTGATTGTGATAGCGGTTAGCTTTTAATTCTGGCCGTCCGATTACGATCCAACGGACGATTCTAATTAGTTATTAAGAATGTAATTAGTAAGTAACTAGCGGTTGAAGAGTTGGGGGTTAAGTGTTAATAGGTGGCGAGAGCGGAGAAGGTTTAGAGAATTAGAGGAATTAATGGATAAGATTTCCGTAATTTTAGTAGTTAATAAAAAGGTTTGCGGACAAGAATATTCGAGATAATCTTTGAAAGCGGATCCAGATGAGGATTTATGAGGATTTTTAATCTGGAAAATTATGTGGGCCCCTGGCGGAGTTGGCCTCATTTATTTGGTGGCATATAGAACTCATGTAACAGGTTTGCAAAAGAGTAAATAGGCCCTTAACTTGGGAAGATTATAAGAAAACTCTCTTAATTATAGAGATTGTTGATAATAGGTGTTAGTAGTGGGTTTTTAGTCCCACATTGGTTGTGAGAACATATCTCACCCTCCTCTACTTGTATAAATATACGTGCACACTCAATATCAACTTAAGAAAAATTTACTTAAGACTCTATCTCTCTTACTTTAACATGGTATCAGAGCTAGGGTTATTATTTCCATTTCAATAAAAAATTTTAACGCTTCTGCGTTCTTTAGCCAAATCTTGGCATTGCTGCTTTGCAGCCCTTTAAACGCCTTTTTTGCGTTCCTTTGCTAGATTTTTTGCATTACTGCTTTGTGACATCTTAACGTGTTTCGCGTTCTCGTATTCAAGATCGTTTCTCGATCACAAATTTACGGCATCACTGTTTCAAGACCATCTCTTGGTATCAAATTTACGACATCTTCGTTTCAATACTGTCTCTCGGTCTTAAATTAACGGCATCGCCATTTCAAGTCGTCTCTCGGTCTCAAACAAACGGTATTGTCGTTTCACAGTTAGTTACGACATCGCCGTTTCAATCCATCTAGACGTCTCAACATTGGTATTAATCCGTTGTAGCTCTCTAGCGTGAGCATCAGATCCGATCGATCTTCGGGCCACCTTGTTCGCTGGTTGCTTCTTTTTTTTCAGATTTAATAGTCATTTTAACCTTCGGGTTTCTACATTAACCTTTGGGTTCTTCTTTAAACATTTAGGTTTCGTTCAAGGATTATTATCTTGAACTTTGAATTGTTGTTATTATGGCATCTTCACTGGTACTTACTTCTCAGGCTCGGTCTAAGCTCTTTGCACCTATTGCAAGAAGGAGGGACATCGCTTTGAGACATGTTCTCAGCTTCGTCATGAGTTACGTTCCTCGAGAACTGGCTGTAGTCAGTGATCCCCTCAGTCTCGATCCTCTAGTGCACCAGGATTACCGATCAATGTTATGTCATCTACCACTTTAGACCCTACCATTTAAGCTATTGCAGATATTAGCCGTCAAATTGTGGTTCTTCGGCATACCACCTCTCCATCTGCTACAAAACTATCTGATATTCGCCATCAAATTGAGGCTCTTCAAGCTATTACAAATATTAGCAGTCAAATTACGGCTCTTCAGCATACCATATCTCCATCTGCTGTACAACTCTCTGATATTCGATAACCATCAAATTGATGTTCTTCAGTATAGAGCCTCTACATCTACTGCATAACTCTCTGGTATGATTATTGTTAGTTCTTCAACCAACCTTTCGGTCTCTAGTATGAATGATCTCTGGATTTTTAATTCTGGTTATTTCTTTCATATGACTCGTAATGTCTCCCTCTTATCTTCTGTCTTTACTTCCTCTTCTCTTCCCCTATCTACATGGCTGCGGGACAAACTTTGTTTATCACTCAATATGGCTCTATCATCCCACTAACTGACACATCTGGTCGTCTAACTCTTGGCCCCATCTATGTGGCTCCTCAGTTGTGTTTGAATTTAATTTCTATTAACTCCTTATGTATAGATGGCCTACTTGTCTCATTTTCTTCTATACATGTATTGTACAGGATCCACAGGCGGGCAAGACTGTTAGGGCCGGTCGAAAGAGGCACAAACTATATTTTTTGGAATATCTTCACCTTCCAGAGTCCATACGTTAACGTTCTCTTGTTGCTTCTGTAAATCCAAAATCCTCTATCTTGCTTTCCGCAGATTTGTGGCATAGACGACTTGGTCATATGTATCATCAAAGGCTAAAAAGTCTTATCCAATCCGGAGTACTTGGTCTCGTATCCTCTTGTTCTCATATTGAGTCGTGTACTGGTTGTAAATTGGCTAAATTCATTGCTCTACCGTTTCCAACCAGTACATCTGTTTCTACTTTCTTATTTGATTTGATCCATTCTGATATCTGGGGCCAGCTCCTCTGACTTCTTCATCTGGCTACTTATATTATGTTAGTTTTATCGATGTTTTTTCTCGTTATACATGTGTCTACCTACTCAAAAATCATTCTAACGTGCTTGCTGCTTATCAAACCTTCACTGCGATAATCTTCACTCAATGGTAAGTATGTATTAAAGTTTTTCATTCTGACTGTGCCAAAGAATATATATCCTCTACCATGTGCTCTATCATCTCCTCTTATGGGACTATCTTTCAACAGTCGTGTCCCTACACTCATGAGAAAAATGGTATTGCTGAATGCAAACATCGTCATATTCTTGATACCACTCGATTCATGCTCATTTCTTACTCTGTTCCTCATCATTTCTGGGTTGAGACCATTCTCACTGCTACTCATGCTATTAATATCACTCCATCTAGCTTTCTTTCTGGTGCTACTTCTCATAATCGTGTTTATACTCATCCTCCCCATTGTAGACGTCAAAAATGCTTACAGACATCCAAATATCACTCAAGACAAAGAGAAGGTGATAAACATCAGTATCTAAGTCATGGGAGATCATACAAGCCCAAAGGAAGCAAAAGGATCTGTGAATCAACATAAAACAATGTGAATTCACAGAACAATGCAAACTACAGCGTGTGGGCGCGGCAGCTCATGGTGCCGCGGCTACAGCGCGGCAGCTCATAGTGCCGCGGCTAAGACGCGGCAGTTCATAGTGCCGCGGCTTGGGCGCGGCAATCCATGGTGCCGCGGCTACTATAGGGGATGCTACAGCGGTTACGAGGTAGTTATGTGATGATTATGTGAAGTCTACGTGGCGGCGTATCAGAAATAGAACGTGTGCTGACGTGGACAAGCAGTTGAACCACGAAAAAGGTGGTTAAAAGTCGTGGGAGGACAGTTTCAAGCACGATGGAACGTGCTGGTAACTGCCCCTGTGGCCGCTGCAGTTCATGCTGCCGCGCCAATAGCCGCTGCAGTCCATGCTGCCGCGCCAATAGCCGCTGCAGTCCATGCTGCCGCGCCAATAGCCGCTGCAGTCCGGGATGTCGCGGTCAAAGGGATAGTCATTGATCGGCTATTTCTTCAGTTATTGTCCAAGGAGGCTATAAATACCCCCCTATGGCCATCATTTAGAGGGGCTGAGCATTTCCAGAGCAGATTAGAGCAGAGAGCCTTGAGTTTTGGTGAATTAGAGCAAGAGAGAGAGTCTTCCTTCTTCACAAACATCCTCAAGAAGCTTCTAGCGAGTCCTAGAGATCTAAGCTCAGACTTGATCTTTAGAAGAGTGAACATCTTACATCGATAAGATATTCGCTTCAAATTCTTACTTCGATAAACGAAGGAAGAATCATTAAACCCCTCACGGTTTAATCAGAATCTGTGATTTGGTGGTCCACGAGTCAAAGCGCTCCCGGCACAGGCAAAGATCCCACGCAAGCAGCGATCCAAACAACGATCCTGCGTTTGTTTCTCAAGAGTTGTAATTTTCCTTTTGTTGTGTAAAAGAAGTCTTATAAAAAGACTATCTCTTTTGAATTTGTTGTAATCGACCGAAGATATAATGAATTCCATAACAAGGTCAACTTTTGACGCAAACACCCGTGAGGATCCCAGCCCCGGTTTTTGAGCCTGAAGCTATAGCCTATAAATAGCTCTTTTAATTGTTCCTAGGGCTTTGGTGTAAAGGCTTGGTGAAAAGTGCAGCAAAGAAAGGCGGCTGTGCAAGAAAAAAAAAATCAGCAGAGTTCTTTCTTTGGTTGGCGTGCAAGTGCGAAGCAGAGCAGGGGAAAATTCGTGGCGGGTGCAAAAGTGTTGGCAGTGTTCTTTTTGGGGAGCGTGCAAAGAGTCCTTTTGTGCTTTTGAGAGAGATATTTGTGTGAGGGTTTAGATTGAGTAGTTGTAAACCCTAGTTGTATTATCTCCCTCTAATAGTAGATACCCCTCCTTGCCCCGTGGACGTAGGCAGTTTGCCGAATCACGTAAAATTAGTTTGTTTGAGTTTGTGGTCATTGTAATAGTTATTAGGATCCCTCGACAGGTCAGTCCTAGAACTGATGAGAGGAAGAGCCGATATCTCACTTGGTTGAGATATCCGCTTCAGATTCTTGTCTCCTTGGTGAGACGGGAATTCTTATTATTGATCTTTCTCTCTTATTGTGCACCAGAAACTCTGCCGAAATTTCCGCTGCGCACAACAATTAATATGTAACTTCACTAAGAAAAAATTGTCTCGTATAAGTTACCATAGAAACTAGCAACTCAAATTAAAGAAACATGTCACTTGAATTGAAAAACCTTAGGATATAACACAGAATAATATCTCTTAAATTACATAATAGTTTTTATAAAGTCAATTACATAATATATAGGCTCAGTAAATAACTCTTTCCATTGATTATACTAATTAACTTCTACCAAACAGAATAATATCTCGACGGGTCTGCTCATCTATTCCCGGTGTCTTCAACGGGCTTCATACACAGCTGCGAACAAAGGAGGGGGAAAAACAATTCAGCCATGAGAATTATTAGTACTGTTGAACTAGTACTAATTAGTTTGTATTAAAATGGTCTAAATTAGAATATCCTAAATGTTTTGAAGTGATTATTAATACAATCACATTTCTTAAGCAAATAAGATATTGCGCTTTACATAGCAAAACATTTGAGCAATTTAATTTAGTGGCAAACCAAATTTACTTTTGCAGATCGAACAATGATGATTTCACTTGATAAAAACAAATTTCCACTTTTGCCATTTGCTCTTCAATTTAGGATCTCTAATTATTCAATTACCCACTTTATACATGAGCTAGAGAAACTATGAATGTAACATTGTTAAAAAAGTGACAAACGGAAGAGGAGGAAATAGGAGTTCAAGGAACTCAGAGCTTATGGTCAAGAAATTAAAATGTATTACATAAAAAGTAAAAAAAATAAATTGCTAGAAATTAATTTTATTATTTACGTTTGGTAGTGCGCTTCTTGTAAAGAATCGTACAACGCTTGCATTTCTCGCACTTTGGAGGATGCTGACTATTAATGTCGAACGTAGTCTCCTGCGAACAACCTAAACGTGACTCCCAATGTCATTAGAAAGTGAATTTGCAGCCCATGCACATATGAAAATTTTCAAAATTACAAACAAAACAGAAACATATATATATCTTTATCCAAACACGAATTGCAAATTTTATCAAAACACCTGTATACAAAGAGGTGGTCTAAGCGATTCATGAGAAATATAGGAGGATTGTTTGGATGCTTTGAACTGTTTTCTTTATTGTTCAAAACATTGTGCTTCT